TCAGTGCCATCTCATATGAAAAGTTTAATAAAATATTTAAAGTAAATAGCATTTCTCATATCGTTTTATTTTTTTAACTATTTTTCTTGCCCTTTCAACTCCACCATTTGCCTTTTTAGGCTTCACATTATTCTTTGTCAAATTTATAAATTAAAGAAATATGCAATATGTTTGCAGCAGCATATAATGGTCATAAAAAAATCTTATTTTTAATAATATTTGACATGGGGCAAAGTAATCAAATTTTCCATACCAAAATGGAAGCATTATAATAAAAGTTTGAAAATGTTAAATATATATATAAAATATTTATTTAACCAAGAGTAGCCCAATCCTTTTCGAGTCCTAAGACAAGTATTTTTTACATCTTAACATATTTTTGCACATTTATTGAGATTATTGACGGTTTAAATCTAGTGGCGGAGTCACATCAAGGTTAGGGGAGTCACGTGCCCACCCTCGGTTCTAGATTTATAATTTTTTTTTACATATGTATATAAATCAAATTTTAATCAAAAATAATATTTAGAATAAAATGTCAATGGCATTTCTAAATTTATGAGAGCAATAGTGATTTTTTTATTGAAAATGAAGGGACTACAACAAATTATATTTTTATGTATAAAAATTTTGTGAAAAAAATCTCAATATAAACGTAATATCCATTATTATTGAGATATAAATATAATTAATCTCACTATATATATATATAAAAGTTACTAGAATGTTAATTATATTTACATGTGGAGTTCATCCTCCATATATTACTTTACTATTAGTTGATAATATCATATGTCAATGATAACGTGATATCAATATTATATGAAATTTTTACTCAAATTTTGTAAAAATTTAATTTATCTTACCATTATGCAATTTATTTTAAGACTTAAATATACAACTTTTTTACATTGTTCATGATATATTAGTTATACGAAATACTTTCTTTTCGATTTTACTCGAAATTAATTCTAAATTTTATGTGAAAGACTTTTGTAATAATTTATTTATATTTTTGTACTTAATATTAATTCAAAAATTATTATTATCCTTTTATTGTTGGCTATGGAAAAAAAAATTTGAAGTTGTAATTAATAAATGCCCCTTCTGATTTAGTTTTCTGTCTCCACTACTGATTGCCATTAGCATTTTTTTATTAATAAGTTCAAACACACAGAATTCGATCATAAAGCTGGACATATTATGTATACGAACAAATAACTAAAAAAAATTTGAAATTGGACCTTACTAACAAATCTTGTAAAATTTTGCTCAATCATACATATTTTGTGTCTAATTGTAATTGAATAACTAATTTATGTAATCATGTCAATTTTTTATATCTTTTAATTGAAATTTTTTTATTCTAATTCGTGAAATAGTACTATATTTATTGTGATTAGTAAAAGCAAATGGGAGAATGATGAAATAGTTAAAAATAGATAATAATAAAATAACATGAAAAATAACATAGAGGTACACTACAAGAATTTACATATTTGCCGACCACTTTTGCCGACCAAAAAAATTTTGGTCGCAAAAAAATGACTTTTGCCGACCAAAAAAGATTTTGTAGCTAAAATTTGAGACTATTACCGACTAAAGTAATTTTGTTGCAAAAAGGTATTTTTTGCGACCAATTTAAAATGTTAGTCGCTAAAAATGATGTCAAAAGGTGAAAAACTGGGCGGGAACAGTATAATCTTTTAGTGACTAACACAATTTAGTCGCAGATATCAAAACGACGTCGTTTTGATATCTAAATGCACTGCTAGACAATGGCCGACCAAATTTTGGTCGTTATATGTTAAGATTCTGCGACAAAAAAAAAATTTGGTCGCTAAAAGTGAAATGTTTTTTTTGGTGGGATATATATCACCGCCCCTGTTCTCTGTTTACAACCATTTGTTCAAACCTCTCACACAGATTCTCCTTCACCACCAAGCCTCACCTCACCGCAGACCACCACCACCGGCACAGATCGCCACGGCCACCGCCGCAGATCCCCACTACCGTAGATGATCTTCCTCCGTCCTCCGCTGGTGCCTCTCTCTCTTTCCTAAACACCCACCACCGTCGATGATCCTCCTCCTTCTCCCCCTCCTCTACCGGTGCCTCTGCCGGATCCAAGAAGATTGTCGAAATCTAAATCAGATTTGAATCCTAGGCCAAGATCTAACCATGGTGAGCGATCTACAGCGACGCTATGGCTTCCAAATCCTACGACAAGATCGCCGATATCTGCGACGACCTCATCCTCCAGGCACATACACTACCCATCCTTCTATTCTATTATTGATCTCTCTTCTTATCAAACCCTAATTTACTCTCTCTCACGCTCTAGGTTTCAACGCAGGGGATTACATTCCAGGACGAGTGGCCCTACTCGATTCATCTTCTAGGCCATATCTGCATCGACGACATGTGAGTTGATTTTGTATGACTGTGTTGTTCAGTGTCATTGATTTGGGGTTTTACGATGGTTTTAGGGTTTATGTATATATATATATGTTTTGTATTGCAGCAATAGTGCTCGATTGTTCAGTGTCATTTTTTCTATGTGTAAAATTTTGACATTGTTAGTCTCACTTTGTTTCGTGTTTGATTGTCAATTTAATATAAAGGCATATGTAATTGAGTATCTCATAGAGATTGATGTCATCATCAGGAGCAACTACAGTGAACCTGTTTAGACTAGGGATTTGTTGCACCTTGAAATTTCCCCTTTATAATGCTGATATGTTGGTGTTTTATATTTGCTTTGCTGTTTAGAAGGATGTATTCAACATCTGATGTCCTTGCTTGACAAGCCTGCTCTCCACGGGGAAGAGCACATAAGCCAGATAAAAGTAGTAAAAGTTGACATGCTAGTGATTGTTCGTTGCACTATGAATGTGTGTTAACTTTACATTTTACATTGATATTCCTATTCTAGGTCCTGTTTTGGAACTCTGAAGTTTGTCCAGTTGTGTTTAAGCTCAACTCCAGCTGACTGGTCCATATAAAGAAGATTATTTGTTTGTATTTAGTTTATCTAAATTGCTAATTGAACCAGTTCTATAATTATAGTTGTATATGTGTATGTATTGGGCCTTGAAAAGAACAAGTTAGCAAAGAACTAGAAAGAGGAGGATTCCAACCAACCTCAAAACATGTTAGGAAGAGAAGTACATAGAAGATAATTCAATTTGCTTTTTTAATGAAATTTTAGGTGGTTTTACCTTGTGTTTCCTTCATTGGATTTGAACTCTTATGAATAATTATGGTTTCTCCATCTGTTTAACAACTCCTCAAGCTTCCAAGGTTCCCTTTAACTTTCACATGTGTTTATGTGAGGATGAGGTAACCATTATTACAACAAAAAAGAGAGAATATGATTGAACTACATGAAAATTTTTCATGCATGTTTCTTTTTAAACAAAAGTATATATCTTCTATGTCAAATTTTTGCAAATTCACTCTCCATCCCTCTATCAAAATTTATGTTTCTTTGGTTAATAGTGTGTTTAAATTGAAGTTATACATAATTAAGGAAAGAAAGATGACAATGAAATCTATTTGGTGGTTGGGATTGCATAAAAAATAAAGTAACACAATTTGGAATTATTTTTATTGTGTGAAACAGTGGAAAACAAATGACATGATAGCCAATTTTGATGCACCATTCTAGAAAACATTTATTAAAATTTTCTTGAAAATTTCTTTACTCAACAAAATATTTAAGATAGTTTTTGGTTTGATAATGGACATTAGAAGCAAGATCAACTTTAAAATAGTTGAGCAAAATCATCTCATGTGTTACCTTTATTTTGAAATAAGGTGTGCCATTTCTGACATAACATCAAGGGAGAAATTCCCTTTTTACTAAACTTGGACAGATTCTGACCCTTTGTGTGAGGATATCATAAAATATCATTCAAAACATAAGAATAGCTATTGATACCCTTTTCTCGTTGTCTTTCCTTTGGCTTTGGCCTTGGTTGCCTTCACCTTGGGGTGGCTATAGTTTGCCTCGACCTAGTGATGGCCTTGGATTGCCTTGGCCTAGGGGTGGCTTTGGTTTCCTTAGACTTACCCTTGGTTCTAAGCCTTGTATGATTATATCTTAAATTTATTGTCTTTCAAGTCCAATGTCGAAGTTACCTGGGCTTTGGGGGTGGCCTTCATTGACTTGGCCTTGATGTCCATAGTTGTAATTATCTATGCCTTAGCCCTAATATTTGGTTGTAATTGTTGTCACAGTTATTTTTGGTAACTCTTTTATTTATTTTGAGAAACAGAAAAGACAATGGGAGAGAAGTGGTGGTTGTTCAATGCCCCAGGATGGATGCTTGTGGCTAGGTATTGGTCTCTTCTTTTTATAATTGTTTTTATTAGGAGTTTTGTTTTAACGAAAAGATTTATGTACTTTTAATGTGAAGTTGGGTCGAATACATGTGTGCAAGGATGGACTTGTGGAATAAATTTATTGAGCAATAAATCAAATATTGTAGAGTAGCTCCTTTATCTTTTGGATCATCTAGTTTATTTATTTTGCTTTTAGTTCAAATATATAGTGTTTATCTGTAAGGATGTTAGCAAGTTCTAAAATTCCAAATTTTTACTTAGTGTCTTATGGATATCAAAGATCTGAATTCTTTTCAACACTATTTATTCATTCAGTTGTCATGTAGCAGTTGATTATTTTACAAAATTTTCTATCATGAGAAGTTGATCATTTCACAATCTCTCCTTTTACACTAGTGTGTGCATTTTTCCATATAGGGTAGCAACTTTGATGGTGATTTTTTTGTTTTTTTTTTTCAATTGGCAGGTGATTATTTATATTTATGTAGATAATTATATTAAATTGAACAATCATAATTTATAAATAATAGAGCAAAAATAATCAATCTTTGTCTTTGGCATAAATTGACTCCCTAACCTTGTAATTAGAAGTCTAAGCTAGTGTTCTACTAAGCTAGTCCACTTGATTAACTATTCCACTGGTGTTATTTATATTTCTTGCCAAACTCTTCCACTATTGTGGTAGTCCAATCTTCCACTATTCTGTTCTGCTGATCTGTTTCCCCTGCTGTAGTATTCAATTCTTTTTTGGTTTCAGGATTGGACACAGTATGATAACTGATGCTGTGCAGAGGAGTCTTATAACACCAGGGAAGGTAACATAACCATGAATACAACCCTTACCTCGTATTGTATAAAGGATGTGTGCAACCTTGATGTGCTTTGCCTTTTGTTTTTGCTGTATTTGGACAATAACAGCCCTTGTATATTAAGGCAACCCTTCCATAGATAGGCCGCCTTAACAAAAATTGGAGTCCATGAAACTAATTTTTTTATGCACCATCAGCACATAAACACTTAAATTAACAGTTGTAATGTACCTTTAACCCTAATAATAATATATCTTTTGTTGTAAACAAATGATCTGAAGTAGAACACAGCATGAATGCATATAACACATCATGGTGTTATTCTTCATCTTAGCTCAAAATGCTTCCTGTAAATATGTATGTCACGTTATGTCCTCAATATTTTGATAATCACTTTAGTTTAGATTAACATTTATCCTGTCTATCAAAAAAATAAATAAATTAATTAAAATATATCCTGTTTACCATTCTGATGCAACAATTTTCTTCTTTTTTCCCATCTCCTCCACCTCCCCTCTATCTAGAGCATTCTGGTGGAGCCAACTAGTGGAAACACTGGCATTGGACTTGCATTTATAGCTGCTTCAAAAGGATATAAGCTCATATTGACAATGCCAGCCTCAATGAGTCTAGAAAGAAGGGTTCTTTTTAAAGCTTTTGGAGCTGAGCTTGTTTTGACTAATTCTGCTAAGGGGATGAACGGAGCAGTTCAGAAAGCTAAAGAAATTTTGAATAGCACGCCAAATGCCTACATGCTTCAACAATTTGACAATCCTGCAAATCCAAAGGTATTTTGCTGCAATTTTTTTATTCTCTCCCAAGTACCATGTTCCTCATCTTCAAATTCCCCATCTTCAAATTCTTCAAATTCCTCACTAGCTTTTGGGCTTTTATCATTCTGCAGGTTACAAACAGTCGAGGAGATGTTCTCCAATGTAGTCATTACATGCCTATTGTTCGTCCAGAAGGAAAGGCTTTGCCTTGTGTATTCTATTGCCATGGAAACAGGTTAGAAACTAAATGTGGATGAGTAGAGATTGCTCTTATAGAAAAAGTAAGGATAGTATATGGAATATCAAAGGTCTGTCTAATAATTTTTCTAAAAATATAGGTCCTTTACTTGCTTTCTGTCATAGTATGGATGAGTATTAAACTGGTAGATAATTGAATTAGCTTTAACAAATTCATTTTGTAAATCTGTTTTACTAACAAGTTGTCTGTATTGATTTTACCAGTGGATGCAGGGCAGATGCCAGTGAAGCGGCTATAATATTGTTGCTTTTAAACATTACTGTTTTCACCCTTGATTTCTCAGGGTCTGGACTATCTGGAGGAGAGCATGTCACATTAGGGTGGAATGAAGTAAATGGCTGAGCAATTTAAATATTTCCTATTTTATAAAACAGTGTCTGTGTGAATGGAGTGTATGATGTCAGATGATCAAATGAGTTGCTCCAGTCAAATACATTCTTTGAGGATTGAAATTGCTGATGTATAATTTAAACCCTATTATTAACTAACAAGTTGTCTGTATTGAAATTTTTTTTTCCAACCACTTCATGTGGAAAACATTTTCTCCAATTTTGAGAACTCTAGCCCACTTGCTCTGATCTTTTTTGTTTTCTAATTTTCTGTTTACTTACAGTATTTTTCTTTCTTATTTCTTTCCAGCAATTTGAGGTGGAATAAGTTGTAAGATGTCATTCCTCCTGAAATAGGTGAACTAAAGAGTCTAACCCATCTGTGAGTAATTTCATCATCTTTGAGGGTATTAGTTTTGTTGGATTTTTCTCATATTATTTATTCTATATACTATTAATGTGTTATAATGAATCTTCTGCAGATACTTGAGTTTCAATAATTTCAAAGGAGAAATCCCCAAAGAATTAGCTAATCTTCCTCTGCTACGTTACCTCTGTCTACATGAAAATCGTTTTATTAGGCGAATTCCACCAGAATTGGGCACTCTGCAACAACTCCAACATTTGTAAATTTCATGTTCTATTCCCTATAGTATTTGTATACTTTACTATTTGTATCTCATTGCAGATAATCTCTCTGTGATAGCCATGTTTTCATAGGGATGTTGGTAACAATCATTTGGTGGGAACTATTAGGGAACTAATACGTATTGAGGGATGCTTTCCATCTCTTCGCAACCTGTAAGTCTATGCTTCAGCGAATTTTGAAATACTTAATATTTTCCAGTTTAAGGCTATCAGAGTCGTAGTTCTTATAAAAACCATTTTTGATCCTTTGTAATTCTGATATGCAGTTATCTGAATAATAACTACCTTACGGGTGGAATCCCAGCTCAGCTAGCAAACTTGACTAATTTGGAAATCTTGTAAGCATTTCATTTTGTTTTTAACTGTATTAAGACTGTTATCTATCTTCTTTCTGGATTTCTTTTTGTTGTAATTGAAACCATCTTAAAAAATTGGCTGCTATGTTTGTAACAGGCATTTATCATACAAGAAAATGTCTGGGTATCATACCATCTGGACTTGCTCATATTCCCCGATTGACTTCCTTGTAAGTTTATTTTTGAATTTTCTGTCCACTCTACAAATGTGATCCAGTTATGTATGAGAAGTTCTATTTTTGCAATGTATCTAGAGGAATTTCCTCTTTCTAAGAGCAGTACACATAAATTTGGCAGTTCGAATTCTAAGTCTGGACTTTTTTAGCTACACTTTCTGGGCATACTATTCATTGGATCACAATTTGGCTGATGTGATTGTATGGTTTGAAATAGTCACATATCATGTCTTCATGACAAGAAGGACAAGACAAATCTATATAATAAAGCACATCAGTTTTTGAAAAATGTTATGTGCTATAGTTTGGGGTTAAGATTGAATAAATCTAACGATTGGTGTTATTTCCCTACTGATGAGGTACCTTTAGGCACGGGCAATTTTGCTAGTGGTCAATATTACAATTGCATATTGAAAAGTTATTTGGATTTGTAGGACAAGTTTGTTAGTGGAACCAAGGTTGAGTTAGGATTCCTATTTCATCGATACACTTTGTTTCGTTCCTTGACATCTGTGACCCAATCTTCAATATTGAGAAGATTTCCTCATCCCTTATGGCTTTGATTCATGTCTTTTAACTGTTGTTTTTATCACAATTAATGCCTTTTTTTTTCCCTTCTTTAATTTGCTTTTCCCATTTTTTTGCATCTTTGTGCTTTTGTGTATCTGGGACAGCATCTTTGTTTTGGGTAGGCATGGGATAGCATCTTAAGCTTGCTTTCATTGCAGGTACCTGGATCATAATCAATTTACTGGGAGAATCCCGGATGCATTCCATAAGCACACTTTCTTGAAAGAAATGTGAGTTTCTGTCTTCAATCACTACAAGCAAATTGCAATTACCCAACACTAGGTCAAATGCTAATTGATTAAATGTTGTCACATGTATATTGAAGGAAAGGCTTTCCGGCCAGGTGTGAACCCTATTGGCGTCCACAATGCCCTCGAAGTTTCTGACACAGAGTTCTTGTTTTAGTCAAAGCTTCCACATATTATTTCCTCGTAGAATTGTTTCTTTTTGTTCTTGCTAAAACTAGGGTGTTTCAGTTTGAATTGGAATGTAGTTCTATAAATAGGATGTATATAATGTACACTAGTGTTTTGGGAAATTTAAGAAATTTTGGAAGTAGGTTGTTTGACAGTTTAGAAAGGTGTTGTTGGATTCTTTGGTTGTCATTATTTTGTGTGAACAATGTCTGGTGGAACACCAGCTGGGGATGTCTGGTTGTTTCAGTTTGAATTGGAACAATGTCTGGTTGTTTGACAGAAATTTAATAAATCGAATGTTAATGAATTATGTATTGTGTCGAATGTTAATGATTCAGTTAATTTGAGTGATGCTTTAAAATTATAGGTTTATTATGGATTGAATAAATTATTAGGAATTACAAGTGTATTGTTTTCCTGCTTTGGCGACCAATTTATTAGTTGCGACAAATAAATAATTTTTTTTCACAAAAAATGACAATTGCCGACCAAGAGTTTTGGTCGCAAAAAATACATCTATTACCGACCAAAATAGCTGTTGGTCGTGGAAACTCACTTTTGCCGGCCAAAAGTTTTGGTCGCGAAAAGTAACAAATGGCGATCAAAACCTTTTTTGGTCGTGGAATGTCACGATTGGCGACCAAAATTTTTGGTCGCGGAATGTCACGATTGGCGACCAAACTTTTTGGTCGTTGAATGTGATAATTGGCGACCAAACTTTTTGGTCGGGAAAATATCACTTTTCGCGACCAAAGTGTTTTAGCGACTAAATGAATTAGTCGCGATAATGATATATTTCGTGACCAAAAATTTAGTCGGCAAATCCAACTTTTGCCGACCAACCAAGATTTTGGTCGCGAATTACTTTTGCCGACCCTCAATTGGCGACCAAAGTAGCGACCAAAAAATTTGGTCGCGGATAACTTTTTCCGACCAAAAATTGACTTTTAGCAACCAATTTTTTTGTTGCCAAAAGTGTTAATTCTTGTAGTGGTAATTGCAGGAGGAAAAAAAAAAATAAGAAGAAGAATGAGGAAATAAAAAGAAATAAAAGGGTATTTTGTTCCAATCAGAAAAGAAAAAGATAATTTTTTTTAAGGTGATGATATTAAGATTTTATAAAATAAAAGATATATAATATTTTCATATAGTAATTGGGCCCCTCAACATTTTCATAGAGAAAATTCAATATAGAGAAATTTTGTCCCAACACAGAAAAATTTCAATTTTCACATAAGAAATTTCAAAATTTCTTTGGTATGATCACAGAAAAATTTAATCAAGAGGCCTTAACTAATAAAAATATATATGTTGAATCTCTCCTAATACCCAAAGTTGAAAAAAGATGTTTTATTAATTTTTCCAAAGAAAGAATCTTTAATACAATACATTAATAATTTTGCCACATTCTATAATGTGGTATAATTTAAAATATTTTGGATATTTGTAATTTGTATAATGAGTGGAATCAATAATAATATCATAACTAGTGTTACACTAGTTAATACGCTAATTGGTGCATGTAGTACCACTCTTCTATAATAGTGGAAGTAGGTAGTCATTTATTGCATTCATACTACTACCAAATTTTTGAGTTTTTTTTTTTTTAATTGAAAAAAATGATGCTCTTAGGTGTCATCACGGCATCCATGGGACTAAGCCCTGGGGTCTACCGGTTGCCAGCCTGATTAACCCAACCCATAAGAAGGGGACCCACCACCGAGGCACCAGTGGAGCTCATCAACCGCCCTAGCCAAGGTCAAATTTCGATCGAAGTACAACGCGAGATCTCTGCAGAGAGTCATTGGAAAATCCAATATTTTCGCGCCCCCTATGAGTCGAACTTGACTCATGGCTGTGGGAAGGCAATGCCTTCACCACTGGCCACCACTCTCGGTGGTTTTAAAGCTAATTGTTATGACCAATTACAAAAACAAGAACATTACAAACCCAAAAACCAAAAAAAAAAAAAAAAATCCAAAATTTATTTAAAAATATCAATATGTAATTCAGATTCATTCTACACATGAATTTTATAATACATAATTTCAAACTCCACCACACAATTCATTCTTGGCCAAAATCTGAACCCTAGACTTTTCTATTACAAATATATATATATATATTTCATTTTTCATTGTATATATTCATAATATTTAATCAAAAATTCCTTATAGCCCAAATTTTCCTTGCCCAAGTGCTGCCCGAACACAGGTGGACAACACACCTCAACAGCCAAAGGCAAATCACCAAGCCCAATTATCCTAGAGTTTAGAAATTATAATTTGACTCCCAAAAAGTTTGAAAAAATTACAAAAGGAACAAAAGATAAAATTATATTGTGTGTAATCG